AATTTGCAATTGACAACTTTTCCCATTTCACTGAAACACCTATTAAACACTTATCTTCTTTTCTTTCTTAATTTCGTTTTCTCACTGAAACCAAGTAGCATACGTCTTGTTTTTCTATGCAATCAAGGCGCAATACTCCATTATTTATAAGGTATTTGCAAGAGGTATTATACACTTATATCTTTCTTTTTTTCTTTCTTTCTAGCCATATACCCATCTTACAAACATTTCTCTTAATAATTTAAAAATAATTCAGCAGATGTTATTTTATTTAACTGAATTTTTAGTGATTGCCTCATTCAATACAGTGCATCTAAAAAATGGTGTTTTTTTTTTGTCACCAGAGGTTCTCAGCATTTAGCTAAGATCAAAGTGTAGTATCTGTTCTGATCAGTTTGATTTGATTCTCTCTCTCCATTTCTACCTTCCCTCCTTTCTTTCATTTTCTCACTGAAACCAAGTAGTGTCTTTTCACCTCTTTCCACCGGGTGAAAACAGAATAGTTCATTATTTATGAGGTATTGGCAGGGCATAATGGTAGTGCAAACTAATGAAGAGAGGGACAAGCAGAATTATTATAGGATTATTTTATTAATAATACTGCATATCTAATTACCATAAATTAAATTTAAAAAATATTGCTTCTTTTGACTTTCCTTGGCCACAAGGCAAAGTGATGACTTTTTCTACAACTAAGCCTGATCTCATTATCAAGGGATTTTTTTTTTAATTAAAAAGAAACTTTTTACAACTATAGAGACACTTTTCGAATACATGTGTGTGTGTGTGCATATATACCTCCCTGCCTATGTTACAATGCCTTTGTATCAATGGATAATAAAAGGCATATGACCATAGTTATTAAGTAGACAAATGTTTGTTAAATGAATAAAAAAAATAAAAGAAGCTAGACATGTGATAATGACTAGTGTCAAATGAGACACATAAGTCTTTGTAAATTAGATGGCCTAAGGCTGAGCTGTATGGATGATAATCCGTAAAGAAAGGCAGCTGTTTGCATGTAATGAATAGGCAGATGCTGCCACAATTCTGATAAATAACTTTTTTCCACCTACTCTGTTGAATTTATTAAAAAAAAAGAAAAAAAAAAAGACCTTGGCACTTTCTATAAAGAAAAAGAGAGAGAGAGGGAGGGAGGGATTTATCAGATTTAAGAAACTCTCTCTCCTCCCAATTAGTAATTGAGGTTTTACTGTAGAGTCAATAATGATGGAAACATTTGGCATCTATTGACCGAGCAGCCTGTTGATTGAAATTTATAAAATCTTTTATTTGAAGTAATTTCTCAGGAAAAACAGGTTTGTCAAGTCCAGTAGCTGTTATCACTTTTTCCAGTATACTGTTGAACAAGCTAAATGCAACCACTGCTTCTACTCTAACAATTTATTTTCTCACACTTCTCACCTGTGGAATTCCTTTCAGATTTCTTGTTTCCCTGATAACAACAATATTAAAATTTTTTTAAAATATAACATCAACTGCCATCTTCTGTCTTCTTTAACTCTGTTCCTTTTTTTTTTTTTGTCCTTTCTTCAATCCTCCCTACTAACGTTTCATTCTCTTTCATTCCCTGTAACCCCCAGCATTCTAGTGGCATTATTGCCTTGCTTGAAGGTGAAATGATTAAAAAAATAAATATTGATGAGAGTTTCCATCCTAACCTTTTGTCTGAAGTAGTGGGGAATATCAACATTTTGATTGTCATTACTTGCTCTTTGGGATACATCAGAAACCAGATAAGGGTCCACCAAACTGCTATAAAATTGACTGACTTTTTATACAAGGGGAAATTTTTGCGAGGAGGCTGCATGTGTGTATATAGAGATTTGAACATTGTGTACTTTTGTCATAGACAACATTAGCAAATTGGTTGGCAAAACCAATGTACATAGATCAAAATGGTAACAATATTCTTGCTGGACTATCACCAGACCGTTTCCTTTCTTGTTAATAAACTGAAAAATTGGTGGACATACATCTTTTCCTGTTAATGGACAACTCTCTCTCTCTCTCTCTAAAAAGAGTATTTCTTTTACTTCTGACCGGGCAATCAGCCAATATGTGCCAAATTTTTCCCTTGAGTCTCCCTACCAAGTTATTACTTGCTGACTGAATTTTTGTTTTCTTTAATCGATTCACCCCAAGCAAGGCAATAATGCGACTAAGATATAAGGAGTTACTGGGAGTGAAAGAGAATGAGAAGACTTTAGAAGAAACTAGAAACCAAATCCTGAACAGGAAACAAGGGATAAACTTCTATTCCTGTTCAAAAGAACAGGGAGGAGTGTAAACTGGACAATAGGCAAACCTATCTACTCCTATTGAGATACTAATGTGTTTTGTATTCAGACAGTTGCCTAAAATTTATTTTCTATTTGTCCAACTTTCACTGCCATATAGTGAATTAGACATTTATATAGTAGTCTAGCCATCTTTAGTGTTAAGTAAAGACCAACAACTTCAGTTGAAATATTAACTTGGTTTGCTCAGACTATTTCTTCTGCTAATTATTGCTCTACTCCAATCTCAATTTTTCCAAAGTCTCAATACAAAGAATATATCTGAATTCTGATAGGTTTGGTACTGTTTTAGAGATAGCAACATCTGTATTCATGGAATGGAAAGTGAATTTAGACAACATTTACTTACCAAAAGACGGGCCAGCACAGACAAGCAACAATGCAATGCAATAAAAATGTAACCGTGATTAATACAAAAAAGTGAGAAATATTCAGAGTGCACTGTAGTCACACACACACACATATATATATATATATATATATACACACACATTTTCATGTATTAAAAAAATTGACTGACATTAAAACTTTAATTCTAGAAGCATGCAAGTTGACTACTCTATTCAAAAGCAGCTATGACCACACCCACCACCATTTCAGACAGGGAGTATTAAGAAAAAAATACTTGAATGTTACGTATCAAGTGTTACTGAAACTTCAGCTATGTCCCCTGTTTGGCCCAGTTCAAAACTTTTTGACTTGTTTTTTTTTTTCTTCCTTTTTTTTTTTTTTCAGCTATTTATTACAAACATAAAATTTTAATGTTTTTTGTCGGAGAGTGGGTTTTATTTATAAACCATCAAATATACCATGTCATTCATCAATGCATATACCTTTTTGATAGTCAAAGTTGCTCTCATTTTTTTTTTTTTTTTTTCTAGTCACCATTCACAGTGTTCTTATTTCTGTGTCATATCACTTTTTATTATTTACTATTTTAGCATATTTCAAGTTTAATATGAGGAGGTGCTGAAAAGTTTTTGGTTTGGCCAAGTTGGGATTCCAAAATAATTTTCAGATGTTTGGTCACATCTTGAAAAGTGAGTCATGCTGAGAACTTTTCAACACCCCACTCCCCACACACACTGCAGGGTATGTATGGAAGAAATATTATACACAAATTCTATATATCAGATTAATGCTGGGTAACTGAATGACAAAATGGAAAAAAATTCTATTTAACGTGTTTCATCCTCCAAAAGGATTTCATCAGATGTTCTGAGATAATTATACATTTGAGAGGAACACTGAAAATGCAGGAAAATTAAATTAAAATTAAACTTTAAACTTAAAAAATTTAAATTTTAAATTTCTGACATCCTTATGTGTCTAGATGCACAGCTTAGTCAACTTTGTTCAGTTTTCCAATGTTTTTGTCTTTATCAGTCGTTTTTAAATATCCCACATTGTGGTAGCTCACCTGCAGATTTATTAAGATAGGTAAAATGTGGTAAGAACCTGCACACACATTTACTATGAAAATTTCAGAAATTAGTGTACCTTCTATACATTTTCACATTCATACATTGCTCTTAATTAAAACTTGAAGTCAAGATTATAGTCATTACAATGAACAATTAATGCATTGTGTTGTTTTGTAAAAGATCTCCTTTGTGTTTATATAATCTTTTATTCCTAGAAGTCTCACCTATGTATTCCTTGTGGCATGCGTTATAGAGTATGTATGTGCACACATTTCTGTGTAAGACATCAGTTGCAGAACTTAATTTGCAAACCAACATCATAGACTAAGCCATAATGAGGTAAATATCTATAAATGGGCCTGCTTAGTTGCTATGGTAATGATTTATTTCCTTCCTGGCACCTAGAAACAAGAAATTCATGGGTAGCTCAATTGGACTACAGTCAGCAAATTAAATTGGATTTGAAAACTTAGTGCTTGCAAATTTTAAATCTTTTCTTCTCAGAAGTTCAGCTTATTTTAAAAGTTACCCAAAAAGTCAAATGTAGCAAAATTCAAAATGTACGAGTGGGTGCTGAAAATTTATCAGTTTTGACCAAGAAAAGATTTTAGCAATCCTGATTCGAATACTGATTTGAAAGACAAGCCTGTTCTCCCCACTGGAAAGATTGGCTCAATCTTACTAAATGGAGTATTGCTGCTGGATTGGAGATACTCAATCCTCACTTTCCAGCCTTGATAGGGTACAGAATTATTCATGTGGTTTTCAGGGAGTACACTTGTTCTCCATTCTGCAGCCCCTTGCCCCACAGAAAATGCCCCCAAACCTGTCACTACATTTACTGCTTCCATGATAAATGTCCAGATGAGTTTAGTTCCACCTGTTTAGACCATAAAACACACCATGCTATTTCCAAAGAGTCAAATCACCCTCACACCCACAGCTTTCCCCTCCCCAGAAAAATCGATACTTTGTTGAACAGCCTGCTGTACAGATGTTTCCCTGTATGTTACAATCTTATGCTCTTCAAGTCAAGAGTCAATCATTAGCTATTCACCTTATAATCTACACTTTTTACCATTTCTTTCACTTGTATCACACATCCCATACATTATAACCATTAGCAGTAACCCACTATCTTAAGGTGCCCTCAGGCCTTATATTGAGCAATCAGTTAGGAATACTAGATGTTGTAAGCTTGGATGTGTGGATGGTGTAATGGATAATGGCTTGGAATTGTTAATCGGAGAATGGAGTTCCCGTACGATCAGCAAAGCTAATCAACGTCGAGCCTGATCAGTACCTAGATGGGTGACCACTTAGGAATACCAGGTGTTGTAAGCTTGGATGTGTGGATGGTGTAATGGATAATGGCTTGGAATTGTTAATCGGAGAGCCGATTTCCAATTCCTGTGGGGTTCATTATATACACTTATATGCAAATACCCTTGAGAAAAATATGAATCCAACTATTTCCCCCCATATATGGGTTAATTAGTAAGACTTGTATTGCTAAATCATTATCTTAAAAAAAAATCTCTATGAAAAAGGTATTTTCTGGCTTTAAATGGCCTGCAAGGGTTTGATAGACCATAGAATACAAATCAATCAATCTTATTTTTGGTGAAGTTCAATGTAAAATAACACCTCCAGCAAACAATGCCCAGTATGAGAGTAAATCTAGTAAAGAACTAGATGGATACATACATGCACAAGTGTGGGGGGAAGTGACTGTCATTTGGTACATTTCTCTTTAATCTCTTGTTCAGATGTTGAATTATGTTGATTTGATAAGAGACTTTATTCAACTATGATCTTAGTAGAAAATAAATACAAATAACAATCAACACATGGGGATTTGGAAACAGATTGACAAATTGATGAAAGAGTTTATTGTGTTTGCCCTTCAAACAAATACTGACATTTCAGAATAAGCACTGGCATAAAACCCAGATGAGCATTATTTTATTGTTATCAATCAAGTAACTGAAGAGAAAATCAATCGAGTAAGTGAGGGAAAAAAAAAATCAAAAAAATCGGACCAATAGCCCAGTATATATGAATAATCAAAAACATGCCAATGCAAAGTGCAGTGCTTATAAGTTAATATGGTCTTAGCCAAAATAGATGAAATAAAAATGAATTGGTCGATTTTGTTTAGCAGCATATCAAACTGTATGGGTTATTTAATGCTGAAATCTAAATATTTTGTACCTGATCAGAATTTGATAGACAAAGATGTGAATATAAAGTGGAGGATCAATTTTATATTTTAATCAATAAATAAACCGATCCCTCACTTTATGGCCACTGTAGTTTCTATATATTTATATTCCAGAGAACTTTAAAAAATCTAAGAGACATGACTGTGTAGCTAATTATTTGATTTCATTGATTGATTCTTTCATTTTCTATGGCTCATCAACCCTTTGCAGGTTATTTAAAGCCAGAAGATATTTTTAGATTGTAAGAATGTTTTTTTTGTGATTATGATTTAGTGATACAAGTTTTACTAATTAAGCAATAGCTGAGGGGAGAAGAGGGGGATTCATACCTTTCCCAAGGGTATTTGTGAATAAGTGAATATAACAAACCCAACTGGAATTGGAACTCGGCTCTTCAATTAATAATTCCAAGACATTATCCATTACAGCACCCACACATCCAAGCTTACAGCATCTGGTATTCCCAAGCAATCAACATTTAAGTTTCACATTGCCTTATTTTGATCACACGGGAACTGGAACATGATGTGGCCTAATACCCTAAAAATTAAGTAAACACAAGGATAACTATGTAATAGTCATATATGAGGTTTGATCAAAAAAGGTGATGCAGGTAAAAAGGTCAGCTGACTCTACCTTTACAAAAGCCAGATCAGGCCAAGAATGGAGAACTGTTGCCATATTTGGGTGGGAGCTGCACAGACTGCGTTTTTCAGCCTTGATAGAGTCCAAAAGCATCTCAGAGTCCTTGTGGGTGACAAATTATTTTCCACCCTCCACCCTCTAACAAATGTGTCTGCTCTATCACTACTTTCACAGTAAGTGCTCAGATGAACTACACTCCTTGGTTCTGCCAGGCCTAACCTTCATGACGAGGACCCATCATGCAACTTGCATTGTAGCAAACCACCCACATTTGCTCTGTATTCCATCAATAAGAAGTTGGTTCCACTTGAACAGCTTCTTCCAGCAAACTGTTGCTTTGTGGAAGCAACTTCTAAGACGATGTTTCCCAGATCACCAATCTTAAGCTGGTCAAGTCTAGGGTTAACTGTTACCTTTCTCTCCTATTTGTACAGAATCCCTCCTAATGTAACCCTCTATCTCAAGTGGCCTCCTAGGCCTTAGACAGGGTGAACCTTCCTGTAATATATATATATATATATATATGTGTGTGTGTGTGTGTGTATATATAAAGTCACTATGAGTGCTATTCTATTGTGTAACCCAGTACTACCTGCTACATGGTCAGGTCTTTGACACCTAAACTGATTCTCACACTGAGGCGAGGAGGGTTAGACACCCATCAGGATTAAAAAACAAGACCTGTCAAAGGTGTGCGAACCTTTTTGTAGGGTCACTGGCCATCTAACACAACTGGGTAGACTGCAGTCAATATGGTGATAACACAGTATTGCTGTGCAGGGCGTTTCCTAGACTGAAGTTAAATGGTGAAGACAGAGAGTTTCTCCAAGGCAATCAATGGCCATTTGTCCGGGACCAAAGAGAGCCTTCAAATTGGAGGACATCAGCTCTGGTTTAACCTTAAGAGGATTGTGTGTTGTCAGGTCCACTTGCCCAAGACATACTACACTTGAATGAATATCTCTGGCTGAAGAGAACTGGTCAGATACTCAGCTGTACAGTGATCCTATAACCACACCCATTCATGGGACTGATGATAATGATAGCCATGTAGTTTATGCCATCTATTTTGTTATATTGATTATTATCTATTAATGGAATATCTGAAGAGTGTAGCAGTTACTGGCATGGAAAGTGGAACCAGTGTGCAGAGTTCAAATTCCAGCCAAGTTTTTGTTATTCACTTTTGCACAAATACTCTTTGGAAAGGGAGGATGTGAAAAAGTTTTCTTAAACAATATAAGATTAATATCAACTGTCCTAGATTGAGAAGTCCTACTAAAGAAAATGCACCTCCCAAAAGAAAACCAAATTTGTATCCATTTTTTACCAGGTAAAATTGCTCCCCTTTATATTTATATATATATATATATATATATATATATATATATATATATATATAATAATAAAATAAGCAGCATATATTTTATATTACAAAGAGTTAATTATACCTTGAATCACTTAGCAATATTTAATATCTAATAATATTTTAATGAGTTTAGTGTGTTTCAAGGTATGATTAAGGTATGAATAACCTATTTATATATATATATATATATATATATATATATATATTAAAATGATTTTAGGAAGAAAATGCATAGATTAACTGGTCGTGGTTAAATGTAAATGGCAAAAATGCCCAATAAACAGAACTGATGACGTTTCTACAATAAACAATAATAAAAGAAAAAAAAAAAACAGGGCAAAATAAATAAATAATATATGCAAATATATATATATATATATATATATATATATATATTACACACACACACATACATACATACATGCATATAAACACACCCAAGTATAGGATTGGTATGGACAGAATAAAATTCCAATAACCAAAAACACTATTCTTAAGAGTGCTCAATACACAGAGCAAATATTATTTATTCAAAAATTATAACATAAATATGTTATAAAATCACTACAAAAAATAGCCATTTTGTTTCAACATTTTCAAAAAACAGACATTGTGATGTTGTTGAATGTCATTCAACAATATCATTGAAAAAATAACATTATGTTTGAATTTTATTTATATATATATATATATATATATATATATATATATATATATATATATATAAAGCAACTCAAAAGCAAATAAAAGCAACATTTGGTAAAAAGTTCAAACTAAGAATGGTATTAACACATAAAAGGCATACAGTCAAGTGATTGCAGCATTGTAACTTAAAGACATGAAAGAACAGAAATTGGATGACACCAAAAAGTGGTTTATCTTATAGGCTCGGAAGAAATCCAAACATGCATCTGTATGACTTGTCTATAAATTTGAGGTGAGGGATGTCTTTGTAGTCATTCCTAAGTACTGGAACTAACAAGATGCATTGATAGTCCTCTATGGTACCAAGACTTTATGAATTTAAGAAAAGTACTAGATTAACGCCAAGGTCTCATCATTTTAACAGTTGAAATGGCTGCTAGATGTAACCATAAGTTTTGTGCTAACAGTTTGTTTTATCACACTTCTCATGTGTGAAACTCTTTTTTAGCTTCTTGCTTTCCAGTCAACTTTGATCTTCAAAAATTTAAATGCTTTGACAATCGTTATCTTCTGTCTTCTTAATTGTTGTTCTTTTATTGCCCTCTCTCCTTAATAGTAGTTTTTTCTTATATTCTCTAACACTGAATAACCTTTTGTGTTCAGGAGGCTTTATTGCCTTGCTTGGGGTGAAATGATAAAAAAAAAAAAAACACATTTTGACCACAATTACACAGTCTTTACTTTATAGTCATGTGCTTGTAATTCACAAAAATATTATGACTAATATCAGAAATGTTTAAGTTGTAGATAAGTTCATCTATTGTCTAGTTCTTTGAACTGGAGTAGAGGTTTATCCCTTCTTTCCTGTTTAGGATCGGGTTTCCGGTTCCTTCTAAAGTCACCTTCTAACATTTCCACTTGAACACTGAAATTTTAGTCACTAATTATCTATTTTTTCTCCTCAATAGGAATAGATAAGTTACCTATCGTTCAGTTTACACTTGTTCTCAGCCTTTTAAACTGGAGTAGAGGTTTATCTCTTCTTTAATACTTTTGGGAAAGGTATGAATCCTCTTCTTCCCCCACAAGCTATGCGTAAATAGCAGGAGTTCTATAGCCTTGGATGGCAACTGGTCTACCACGGAAAGAAATGGCAACCCACTGCAGGGGAAAAATATCTGTCTCGTCGGTCATGTATCGAAAGATACATGATCACCTAAGTGTGTATCACATATAGCACATAACTGACTAAATTTCCAGTCTAATCCATTATATTCACTTACGTGCTAATACCTTTGGGAAATGTATGAATCCTCCTCTTCTCCAACCCCTGCTATAGGTAAATAGCAGGACAGACCAGGTTCTATAGCCTTGGATGGCAACTGGTCTACCGCAGAAAGAAATGGCAACCTACTGCAGGAAAAAATCTGCCTTGTCAGTCATGTATCGAAATGCCAA